CGGCGCTCGCGCGCCCCTTGGAATTTCTGCCCAGAGAACATCCCAAAGGTAGTCCTTCGTCCTGCAGCTCCGCCCAGATGGCGAAATCAACGAATGGCGAAGTATTCAACAAGTCTTGCAAGAACGGGATGGGAACGCCCACCAGCCGCTCTTCCGGAAAGGACTTCCGAATTTTCACAGCGATGTCCGCCTGGCTCCATCGCGCGCCCACGACGCTGGGGCACGCGACCCCACCGGTGACTGCCCCTTCTGCCGCGGCGGGCGGCGCGGCAGCGGGTGCGTTTCAATCGCCCTTGCGGCCGCGCTTGCCGCCGTCGGCCGCGCCCCCGCTCGCGTTCCTCGCGTCGCAAACTACAACGCCGGGTGTTCCGAACATTCGGCGCTAACCGTCGCCTTTCCCGGACCCAGGGCGCCCCCGGACCCGGGCCGCCCCCTTTAAGCTAACAGGGAAACCAAAAACTGAGACCCGGGCTCCTGGTGCACTTGAGGGCGCAGTGGTTCGACATGCCACACAAGCGCCCCGTCTTGTTGATCACGACGGAACAGACGTGCTTATACCCGCGAGGGCACGGCTCGGAGCACTCCCCGGCGTTGAACTTGCGACACACCTGGGTTCCGTCTTTCAACCGATCGCCCAACTGCGCGCCCTTGCCACCTGTCCGCTGGCTCCGCCCGACGCTCGTCGGCGGCCGCTGCGGCCCGGGAGCTGGCGGTGAGGGCGGGCTCCACATGACCTCGCGAGTCTGCAAGCCCTCGCGGATTATCTTCCCGACGCTCAGCTCGCTGGTGCGGACCCTGTCCGTCCACCAAGCGCGCTCCTCCTCGTCCCGACGCACGACGTTAGGCAGCGCAATCGAGAACGGCATCGCACTGGCGTACTTGACCAAACGGAAATGGTAGGCCATCGCGACATCCAACGGAATCTGCACGAAATCCGTCGTATCCGAAGACGCCTTCTCTGGCGTCCCGGGCGCCGGGTCAATCGGCTTCACCCCAGCGCGCGCGCGTGCTACCATGAGAACCTGGTGCAACGCGATATAGGTTTTCAAGTCCTTCGCGGGATCCGGATCTTCCTTCTCATCGCACACGAATTCGACATCCCCAATGCGCTGCCGCTTCCTGGCAGCCCTCGCGGCATTCAGCAACGTGCGGACCTTCCATACACTCATCATCGTCACCTGGCGCCTGCCGACCATGGGGGGCCGCGCGCGCGACGCGGTCACCCCCTCCGCGTGCAATGGGACGCGCCTGCCCAGCTCCCTGCTGATCTTACTGAACAGCGCTTCGGACGGCTCACACTCCGCTGGGTACGCCATCTTATACCGAGCGAAGAACTGCTCGCTCAATTCAGCGAGCTGCGGCGACGGCAGTGGGACATCGTCGCTCTCGTCCAAACCGCGCCTCTTCCGGGTCTCGGACTCCCGGGCGGCATCGCACACGGCTTTCCACGCCTGCCGCACTACGCGCTCGAACTGCGGCGCGGGCCAGGCAGGGCCCCCCCCCGCGCAGGCGAAGGCCGCGCCTGGCGCACGCGGGACAGCTGTCCCAGCCTCCTCTCGAGATCCGGCACGCGCTCGAGGATCGGCGCCCACTCGTTCTCGCTCGTGACGGCATGCGCGAAATCGACCAACGTCTCTAGACCCACGGTTTCGACCAGGTGGGTGGCGATGCGCTCATCAAACTGATACTTCGCGGCCAGCTCTCTGAATTGTGCAGCGGCGTCGCGAGCGCCGACGCGCCCCGGCAGAGCAATGCCGTCAACTGACAAAGACATACCGAGAACCACACGTGTCGCTCCGCTAAACCTACTCTCTGGACCGCGTTCGAGCCCACCTCGGGGCGCGCATACGCATCCGTTAAGTTGGCATTCGCTGGCAGGCCCACGCGCAACTCCGCGCGTCTCCGCCGCGATGACGTCACCACCTCACGCCGGGGCTGCCCGGCCGCGCAACTTTTCACACGCCGCGCACACCAGGGCTCCCTCCGGGAGCGCCGGGAACCACTGCAGATCACTCAATCCATTCTGACATAGGTTCGTCACTGGCCCGAACTCACTGTCCGTCCAGGCTCTGGACTTTTTGAGGCGACGAATTACGGGCATCGCGACGTGATATCGAGGCCCCATAACCTCCCTTACCCGGGTAGCCCTCCCAGGCTCAGACTGCACGTGCCCGATCGCGCCCCGCGGCTCGGGCGACGGGCCCACGGCTCGCGACGCGCGCGCGGATGATCCCTCCGCAACCTGCCTGACTGGCGGCGCGCAGTGCGCTGGCGCGCCATCTGAGCCCTTTACGTCACATTCACCCAACTCCGCGCCCTGCGCTGCCTCGTCACCTGGAAGCGCGGTCACCGCGCGACCGGCGCAGTCAACTCCCCGCGCTTGGAACGCGGCCGGGCCTGCACGGGTTGCGTCTCCCGGCCGCACCGACACTTCATCTCCCCTGGACCTGGGGATGGAGACAGCCTCCAATGCCGCCCACGCCCGGGCACAATACCGCTGGGCCGCGCGATCGACCCGCGGTTCGCCCTGCGCGGCCCGCAATGGCAACCGACGCCGGACTGGCGCGCGCTCCCGCCTCTGCTGGGCGCTTGTTTTTGCCGGCAACTTTCGGCGCTCTGCGTGGACTCGCAGGCGCAGGCAACGCGTTCCCACGCAAACCGCCCGGCGCTTTACCGCGCCCCCCCCGCTTTGCACGCGGTGCCCCCGACGCGAGGGTTTGCGCAGCGCGCGCACGCGCGCCCGGCGCTTCGGCGCCCGCCCCCCCCTCACCGCTCTTACCCGCGGCGCCCCCGTCGGCAGGGCCCCGACAATTGGGTGGAGGCGCGCCCGGCGCTTTACCGCGCCCCACCCGCTGTCCACGCGGGGCCACGATTATCCGGAGAAACTTCTGCCGCCTCAACTCCTCGACGACCGACGGGGGCAAGAACGCGGCCTTCTCACGAACGGTCGACACCGCCACCCGCTGCTGCGCCTCTTTCTCTAGGTCGGCCAACATTACTTTTCCTGGCGCAGAACTCGCCCAGCATCGCACTTGCTCCCACTGCACTGGGGCCTCCAGATCGGTCCGCAGGCACGACAACACTCCGGCCATGTGCAGGCGCGTGCACATCTCGGCTTGCCGCCGACGCGCATTATACACGATCGGCATCTGGTTCCGACGGGAGTTGTCTCCCCCCTCCGTCCAACCGCCCGAGATGACTCGGGCTTCCCAGTCCAATTGTATCGCGCTCGCCCATGCAGGCCCAGCCCGGCGCAAACTGTACGAAGTCACAAGATCCAACTGGGAATCGTCCGCTAGCGAGCCTCGGAATACTTCCTTCAGCGATCGGTTAAAGGCACCCAACTTCACCAGCGCGCCGGAAACTGGATCGAAGACGAGCCCCGTCGGCACAGCCCTTCCTGCTCGATCTTCCCGCGCCGCCAACTTGTGCCAACCATCCCACAAGGCGTCAGCGGCGGACCGCGCGCCACCTAGCCGCCTCGGCAAGCACCAATCGAACGAAGGTCGCCCCTGTCGCTTTCCCTGCTCCCCCCTCGATGCGCGGAACCGGCAAAAATAAACAGACTTCTCTAAAGGCCTAGAGCGCAGCAGGTGCGTGTACCTCACCCACGCGAATACCACCGCCAGCATCCCAGCCGCGAGCATGACTTGCCCAGGCGTTCTCGCGCCATCCAGGAAATCGATCACATGGTAAATCATCTCGGGTTCGACGACAGTGGCCTGGGCCGGCGGTGCGACGGTTCCACTGCCTGGATCACGTGGCACAGGGCGAAACGCATCGTCCAGGCAGAAAGGCGCTTTCAAATGTACGCACATCCACTTCCAGGCGTTCCAGATCCTGACGCCGGACGTCCGTGCGATCGAGAGCTTATGCACGAACTCGGCGACTGCCATGGGTTGCCGCGCCAGACTCGTCGCCGGCTGCCCTTGCCGGCCCGCCCACTCGGCCCACTGCCCCCACACGCGCAAGGCCGTGCGCAGCGTCCCGGATTCGAAATTACTCAGCCTGAACACCGCCGCGGACGAGACGTCGGCGAGCATCTCGGCCTGCGCCTCCTGCAACCCCTGCCCGAGGCCGCTTTCCGGGCGCCATTCAAGCGACACTCGAACTGCGCTGACCGCCAGCTGAACGCGCCCCTCACGCTCTGCCGCCTCCGTCGCCACTGCGGCACAGCGTCTCGGCCGACCGCGGCGCGCGGCGGTAGGCCCACGCCCTTTCCCCGCCGCGGCCCCCGCGCTCACGGCGGGCGCGGCGGCCGCCGCCGCGCCGCCAAATCGCCCCTCCGCGCAAATGCCATGCGCGGGCACCAGCCACGGCGTCACCCGCGCCACGTCCCGAGCCACGGCCCAGGCCGTGGGCACTCCACACTGCTCCGCCTCGTCCGTCGAGCAAAACAATGCGCTAAATTGCCGTCTCCAGTCCCTCTCTCTGCACGAGCGCAGAAAGGGACTCGCGCTCGGAGGAATCGACCCTCCAATCTAAGAACTCTTCGATGAAGAGCTCTCCGCGCTGCCCGGCCATCAAGCAGCACACAAGCAAGAAACAAACCAACAGCAACCGCTGTCGCCAACGCGCTTTGCTCGCACGATCCAATTGCGCGCTCTGATGCGCGCAGTCCCTGCGAGCGCGCGCGGGCGTCCCCTTCTGTCATGATTATGGTTCCGTGACCCGAGCCTCCCCGAGCCTAAAGTCAACGCATCAGCATCATAATCGGCATCAGCATCAGCATCCGCAACACTATCAGCATCATCATCATCATTGGCATCCGCATCATCATCACCAGCATTGGCATCAGCATCATTATCATCAGCATCATCAGCAGCATCACCACCATCATTATCCGCATCCTCCTCCTCCTCCTCCTCCTCATCATCATCATCAGCATCACCATTATCATCATCCCATCCCGCGTTCAGCGACAAAACCGCCCGCTGAGGCCACGGCTTTCGGAGGCGAAGTGCCGCACTCGAGGCCGCCGCCCCGCCACGACAGGGCTCCTGGCGCAGCCTCTCCACCAGCGCGCGCAGGTCGAGGCAGAACGGCGAGCCCCGCTCCTCGAGGAGGAGGAGGAGGAGGAGGAAGAGGAGGAGGAGGACGAGGCAGGAGGAGGAGGAGGCAGGAGGAGGAGGAGGAGGAGGAGGAGGAGGACGAACGAACGAACGAACGAACGAACGACTCTGCAGAGGCGTGTCAGCTGATCCTGCGGCCGCTTGGGGCATTTGAAATCAACGACAGAAGATGTCCAGGGCTGCCTCGCTTTTACAGGACGCTGTGATGTGATAATGCTCATCACGCGTGGCACTCGGTGCACTTGTGCTCCCGCCCACCCCCTACCTCGGCTGAGAGCCCGTGCGTTCAAGGCTGGGCACGGCCGTGCGGCCTGGGGCAGAGAGGGTGGCAAACGGCGTCGGGGACCGCCCGAACAACAATTTAAAGACAGAAAAACCTCGGGCCGTCAACGGCCCTTTCGAGCCAGCGCAAAAAGTTAAACCGAGAATCATCTGGGAGATCCCTGAAGACCCAGGAGTCCCAGGATGTTACTAAAGGGGAGCCTTCCTTCTTGATCGTTTCATGACTCTCGCGGGGGCCTGGGCCTGGGGAGCCCGGAGATCCGATGTCGTGATGTTTGTTTCCAATGCGGCGTCCCCAGAAGTCTCGACCCATTCCCCAGGACCAATTCCTCATCCCGAGTCGTTTTTTGACGGTCCCGGGGCCCAGCGAGGGCCCCTCGAGGCGGGAAACATACGGAAAACCTCCGTCTTTGATTTGTCCAGTGCGTTGGATCTCTGGGAGCACGACGTGGCTGGATGTCCGGGGAGCTCCTGCAGCCCCGCCGCCGCCGCGCCGCGCGCTGCCCGCCCGGCGCCGCGTGGCGAGGCGCCGGGCGCGGCCGCCGCGAGCCGCTCCAGCGCGGCCGGGGCGGCTCCGCCGGCGCCGCCGCCGCGAGGGCGCCGCACGGGGCGGGCCCGGGCGCGGCGCACGCGGCGGCGCCGCCGCCGCGGCGGGCCGGCGACGGGCGCGGGCACGGGGCCCCTGAGGGGAGGGGAGGGCCCCGCTCTTGCCACCTCCCAGTCTCCCCTCGTCCTCCTCCTCCTCCTCTTCCCCTCCTCCTCCTCTTCGTCCTCCTCATCCCACTTTCCACTTCGACCTCCTCCTCCTCCTCCTCCTCCTCCCTCCTCTCCTCCTCCTCCTCCTCCTCGCTCCTTCGCCCTCCTCCTCCTCCTCCTCCTCCTCCTCCTCCTCCACTTCCACCTCCACCTCCTGCTCCTCCTCCTCCTCAACTTCCACCTCCTGCTCCTCCTGCTCCTCCTGCTCCTCCTCATCCCTCTTCCTTCCTTCTACACAGCTCCCCCCTGTCGCACCCCGAGACGGGTCGGTAAGGCAGGCCGGGCGTTTCGCCTGAGACTTTCTCACCATCTATGATCATGAAACGCGAACTTTACAAGAACTTCACGAATGGAGGGCGGGCCATTTTCAACATGTGGTTTTAGCCGTAGCGTTGTGCATATTC